ACTAAAAGAGGGTGTAAGTCTTAGATTACTCGCCGCTTCCAGGGATCGTGGAATTAGCGTGAAATCCTTGTGAGAAATCCAGGTGAAAAGTGGCCACGTGCCGGCTCAAGCGCGAAACATGCCGGGCGCTTATTCAATCTCGCTCTTTGTAACCCAATTTTAACCTCGACGGCCACATAACCTTTCTCAGTTCTACAGGCCCGTCAGGATGGTTCATGACTTCGCAACTGTTGACAAACAATCTATCAGAACGGGGGTAATAAGCGAGGCCGAAGAGTAATAACGAAAAGTTTCATCAGAGGAGTCGAGAATGGCGGACTAGATCCTAGGAGAACCCCTTTTTTCGCATCACTATGGTATAATTAAAGGTATCAGGAGAATGTGAATCACAAATAGGCTTCCAAAATTCATAGTTTCGCAGTTAGCGCTAGTCATCTATCTCATATCCTCGTCAAAAACTCCGGGTTTCCAAGTCAGCACCATACAAACTCAATCTTCCTGTCTAATTTCCATGATTCTCGCTCTCATTTCCGAATGAAGTTTCGTGTCTGCTGGCACTACCTAGGGGAGTAACGACGAAAGACGGAGTACTTCTCTTATATTCTGCCGATCTCAAGAACTTTCTTTTACAGGACCCTGTGGCTTGAGGCGTTTAAGTTTAGTTGTTGAAGCTGCGTGGACAAATACACATGATGCCCGTCTGCCCAACGATTTCCTGCTGGATGTCGGTTTCTATTGCAGTTCTACCGTTACATCTTTCAGCCTCGACCACGTTTCTTCATATCATAGAACCTTCTTTCAATGTTCAACATTCGACATCTGACTGCTATCAGCATATCAAGTTTTCCTTCGAAGTACATACACGGGATTCCATTCCATTCAAACTGCATTCTCCCCGTTCCTGAAGACCGGACTGCCAAGCTTTCAAATCCAATGACGATTGGCAGCGGCATATAGCGGCATACTTTATAGGGAACATAACAAGCCATTTTTCAAGTTTTCTCGCGCTCATGAAGCTGAATCATGATCGAAGTAGAAACCAGGTATGTATAGGTTTATCGATTTTGACGAGACAACTCAATTTCACTAAATGCCTGCGTTTACTGATCGTCGAAACGTTGAGGGGGTGGGTGGGGTTTCTTAGGCCGCTGAGTTTCAGGGTTTGTTCTTCCCACCAACTCCCGGTATGGAACACTCCGAATGCAGGAGCACCGGGAAGAGTTGCCTTGTATGACAGAAAATTTACACTGACAGAAAGCCTTCCAAGTCCGTTCTTGAATCCCTTTCTTACAACCGACTTGTCGAGACCATCAGTCATGTCCCCCCATCGCCGTCATGAGTTGTTCGGACTCAATAGGGCACCACGTATGCCCAGCCTCTTCATTGTTCTGCCTCCCTGCCTCTTCCCTGCCTCCATCCCTTAGCCTTTTGCTGGCTGACAGGTCGCAGGGCTCATCCGGGCCCCAGGTACGACGTATTCACATTTCCAATCTTCGCATATCTGGGAGATCCACCGCTGATCATCCCTTTAAGCTAAACAAGTTAATTCAAGTTGCCCAAAGGCGTCACCGTGTTCAAGTGGATTCGTTCACTGCCTCTATTCATCTCGAACCGAGTAAGCGAGTATCAAAAGTCCCGAGCAAGGACTGGCAGGCGTTTCGAATTCCGAAGATTGATGAATCCTAGTCTGGTTTAGCAAGTGATGGAAGATGCAAGATACGACTAACGGGATGGTTTCATGATAATGACCTTTGAGACTTGTTGCATCTTCTTTCGTTCATTTTCACCTACTTATGAAGTTTGGAGGGATGATTTCATTTCTTTAACCAAGCACTTGATAGACCGTTTCTGGACATAGATGTATAGCTTTTTACTTCCTTCTCTTTCGGTTCAACTATCTTGCTTTTCAAGATACTCGAATAGAGAGGAAAGGCAGTTCCTTAATACTGCTGTCATGTCATCATCCTCTTGGCTCTTCTGGTGCGAGTAAAGCGGAGTTTTTTCGTGGACGATCCTGAAGGTCCGAACTCGAAGGTTTTGCTCTTTTGCTAGCTTGGAAGTAGGGATCATGATATCGATTACGGACCGAATGGAGTTTATACAAATATAGTTATTCGAGCCAAGTCTTTTGCTCTTTTTGCGTAACGCGAAGTACATACTTGCTATGACAAGACGCGCGGCCTCGTGGATGGGGTGGCGTTCAAGCCCGCGTTCGAAATCTCGAAGGCTTTTGACAGAATGCAATTTGTACTGTACAGTATGCCCGGTGTGTGTGTGTGTGCTATTCAGTCCTTTCATCAGACATCACGACTGTGACCCTAGCGAGTGAGTTACATGCACAAGCACAAGGCCAACGAACACAAGGCTGGAGCCTAACCACACACATTTACATTTACATATGGTGTGCGTCTGCTGGGCTTGTTAGGCGGACACGAGTTGTATCAACCCCCCCACCCTTCCGGGCCCCCTCTCCAAAATCGCGTTTTCTTCGCATAAGTGTTATGGTGTGTGTGTGTGGGATGTCGACCGCCCCCCTCGCATCCAAGAACCCCCTTCTCCGTTACCGTGGTTTCAAAGGAAGTTTTGGATCAGAACCGCAATCGAAGAGGGAAGGAAAGGAAGATTCACCTGGAAGCAAACGGTAAGCTTGTGGGTCTAACGCTAGCTTGGTTGTTCTTGATGCGGATGAATTTTTCCGCCGATGAAGGAGTTGGGAAGGTTGAAGTGAAGGGGATTCTTAATCCCATACTAAACTAAACGGAATACTGATGTAATTAACGAGAGATTTTTTTTTAGAGTTTGAACGGAGGTATACACAGTTTGCTAGGATCCGGCGAATCCTCGAAAGAGATGTAATAAATGTAAAGACTGTATCTAATAAACATTGAGGCGGCAAGGGAAGGGATTTGCATGCCCAAACGCCGTCCCTTGACAATGACAGGAGGGGGGGGTGTTGGCTTCGTCCGCAGGGAACGAGGGTGTAACGAAACCCAAAGGAGGTTTGAATTTCCTTGAAGCTTGAGAATAAATTTACTGTAATGAAAGAATGTATCGATGTAAAATTGTCGAAGAAATGATAAATGCGGACACGGGTTTTTTGGTGGGGATATTCATAAACCCTTTGCAACCCAAAAACGTAAACTGAAATCCAAGTTTTTTACTTGCTGCTCTGAAGGGGCTGCGCGGCAATCAAACGTGGGTCATCCCAAAATTAGCCTTTCAGAAGCAAAAAAAGAAATTAAAAAAAAAAAGAAAAAAGAGGCAGGTTATGCGAGAATGGTGCTACTCTTAATCCTGATAGCTTAAAAAAGAGTCTGCTTCGCGCGCTCTCAGTTTCTTTCCCTCCTTCCCTTCCAACACTGTTGTCCCCCTTGGTTTCCCTTCGGAATGGCTGGCAGACGGTGGATGTCAGTTTGGTACATACTCACGGCGCCTTTGATGCTATGGGATGCTGGTTATTGCTTAATGAGGTAGATTCTCTTACTTCTTTCTTCTCTCGTCTTTTTCTCAACTCATCGCAGACCACGGTCAATGGTTGGAGGGGACCTCCATTGGATATGGCCAGTGTACGACTTTTATGGGAAAGTAGACCATGTCAGCAGTTACACATCTGTCAACAGTGAACACAAATTCCTGACATTGCGTTTAGGTCTATGGAGTCCAAGCCTTTGAAAATGGGGATGGGTTTGCCAACGCCGCTGGTACGCTTTAGCCAAACACGATCTGCTGGGTCCAGATGCTGATAACTGTAAAAATCATACTGTCTCCATGTCAGCTGTCCTGAATGTCATTGAAAATATCTTTGCCGTGCGTTGTTCTCTTGTCCATATCAATCAGAATCACTCACTCGCTCCTCTTGGCGTATTTTTATTCCTGTTGCTCTATCCCCACACCGGGTCGCCTTTGATGTCCCTTCCTTCCCCTTCCCTTCCTATCGACAGATTCTCTACCTCTGGTTCACCCACATATGTCCCTCCGAATTCGCTCCTCTCGCAGGGTACACGGGCTCAGCCATGACCCTCGCTAAAACCCTCCTCTACGTGTTCCAAGAGTACTTTTGCGGGTTTTGTGCTATCGGCCACAATACGTTATCGGGCATGGTGCTCTATTGGATCTTACCGAACCTGTAAGTACCAGAAAAACAGTTCATAATTCACCGTTCATTCATGTTCAATGTTCAATGTTCAACGTTCATCTTCATGTTAATGTTCCTGGGCCTTTGTTCTCTCCCGACCCTACCTTACCTTATCCTACCTTTCGACCCCCCCGAAATCGAATCGAATCTTCTGCTCGCTATTCGTTTCACATACTTTACTGTCTGTCCCCTCGTTACGCATTCATTTCGCCAACACTTGATCCTTTCATTCTCAAACTGTCGTTCTCGCTCTCGCTTAATCTAACCGACTTTTTCCCCTTCTCCCGCTCTCCCCTCCTCGGTCAACAGCGCGTGGACGACAATATCAATTCTCATCATGTACCATCTCGGCAAGGACATTCAGTCCGCTATGAAAACGGCTTCTTCGCTATCGACCACGACGTCTCCGCCTTCGTCGAATGGCTTGAATAAGCAGTCGAATGGCCATGCGAGGAACAGCAGCTCAAAGTGCGAAAAATAAAATCTCGACTTTTTTTTTTTTTTGTTTCTCTTGTTTTCCTTTGCCTACTACGACACGACGACATACGCACATTTTTCTTCTGCTGTTTACTTACTTACATACTTTATTTGCTCGTATCGCACGCCCTTCTCCTCCTCCTCGCCCACCTTCTGTTCTTCTTCGTCTTTTTGTGTTTTCATTTCGCTTCAATGTCCGTCCCTATCCCTATCCCTATCTTTATCACCCCATCCCTGATCCTATCCTTATCACCCCCTCCCTCCCTGAAGTCATGAAGTATGGAACGTAGTAAAGTACTAGTAGACGTGCTTGAAATCCCTTTTTAGAGCGAAATGGTATCTATGATGTAACGATATAGCTCCACGTAAAACATGGGTTTTTGTAACTGGGGGTATAGCTCAGCTGGGAGAGCAGCAGACTGAAGTTCATCAGAAAGGTGAAATTTTCTGAAGGTCCCGCGTTCGATCCGCGGTACCCCCATCCTTGCGCTGTTGGATTATTTTTTTTTATTTATCTTGAAAGTCCTGTGTAACTCTTCAGATTTACTTAGGATGCAGCTCTGTTTGGTTTTCATTTCTTTCTTACTTTTTTGCTTAGATAGATAGATATATACAAGCCGAGTCAGATACACGACATAAGAAAAAGACTCCACAACCTAAGTAATACATTTCTCCCTACCACCACTGGCGGTATCCGTCTCCCGCAAACTTGAATCACCACTTGGCATACGGCAAAAACTTTCCACTACGAACACAACCCAAGTCAGTTATCTCATCTTTCTCAAAAAAACCGCAAAAAAAGTCAGACAGAGGACACTCACTCAAAAGTCAACACAACACGATCTCCCTTTGGATCGGGCTTCTTGTCCACCTTGACGGAGCAGTCGATCATCGACATGATACCGTCTCCAAACTACACAACAGTCAGTCACTCAGTCAGTCAGTTATGCTTCGCCTCCCCCAAAAAGAAGGAAGAATGAAAGGGTAGGTAGAGATTTGCGAGAATCACAGGAAGGACTAAACACCGCCCTGAAGAAACGAACGGGACGCGAGGGACGCGAAGAAGGAGGGGAGAAGGGGGAGGGAGGTATAACGGCCAAACGGATGAAATCGTACCTTTTCGTTAATGATGGCCTATAATACATTTGATTGCGAGCAAAACGAAATGGAAATGTAAGCATACTGTATGAAAGGGTCCTTGGATAAGATAGCTTAGCCTATACGTACTTTGATAGGATGTCCATAGACCATGACTCCCTGAATTCACGTTCCCAAAATCGACACAATGAGACAACAACTACCAATTGGAGGTGAGAACGAACATGCGACGCACCTCGTATAGCCGATACACAACAGGATCAGTGGGGACAGGGGATCCAATTCCTCGGTAGGGGAACCAATGTTCACCTAACGTAGGGTCCTGTGGGATCTCGAGGAGTTGAGACAGTTTTTGGATGTCTTCCGCGGAGAGTTTGGCCTAGGGAGGGTGTGTGGAGATTGAGGTTTAATTACACTCGCGTAAGATTGGGCAAAGAAATGAACATTGGTTTATGAAACGGGCGTACCTGGCCATAGAAAGCTGAAGCCACCCAAACTTCGTCCTTTCCTATTGCCTTTCCGATCGCGTCAAAAGTCAATCCTATATGGAACAAAAGTGGTAGGATGAATATGCGAATGAAGTTGAGATCTAGAATCCCGCACCCTTCTTCGCTTTAGCTTCCAGGAGTGTAGTGTGCGCCGAAGAAAGAGCGGCGAAAGGCGCTGTATTGGTAGGAATAGACTTGATGGAGATGGTAAAACATCTTCAGACTTAATTGATTCACTTTAGGTGCTCATGAGCGACTCACGGCTGATTGGGACATTTGTGCTGCTGGTGTTTACGAGTGCGTGCAGAGGAATGCAGTCAAGAGGACAATCACGAAGAAGGTGCTAAACCAGAGATAGCTTTGTGGCTTTAAGTACCCCAAGGGACAAGACATTACAACGTGACTGACGTACATATGGACGAATTCGGATTCAAAATTCCCGATGAGAGAAATGACCACATCAGCTTACCGACAAATCTCGACCCTCACACGGGCGCGGGTGAAAGAGGAAAAGGAGAACCTTCACACGATGAATGAAAATATCAGCAGTAAGCCGAGATAAATGTGTGCGCAAGTATACTGACAGCAACCCACTGCAGTTGCCTGCCTGGTAATATGACTCTACTGACGAAATCATCCGCAGGGGGTAAAACCTCATGACTTTTCCGATTCTTTCCCGTCGTCGAATTAGGGCTTCCACACTTCCTTCGTAGCTTGCATTAATTCGTATAATTGACCCAGCTGCTCGGAGGACATCTACACAGAAGCAAGGACATTGAATCAGCATAACCTTCACCGCCGAAAGCAACATCTTCAAATGCGCACTTTCTCTAGCAACAGCAGATCTAGCTTCTTCCCCGCAAAAGCCAGGCTCTCTCCGGTGCCCGGTAGAGCCTCCAAGTATAGTTTCCATTGCGATAGAAATCCAATTATATGAACGGGGTTCGTGATTTTTCGATGGCGACGGAATTCTGCCCGAGAACTGTGAACCACCAGCTAGTGAAGGGGCAAGGAGAGGTCGGAATTACCTGCTTTCACATAATCATCTCCTAAGAATCGCATTTCCGGTGGTAAATTTCTATGTATTCGAAGGATTTGGCGGAAAAGCCTGGTAAAAGCCATGAGTACAGTTTGTCATCGAAAACCGATGGGGCAGGCACACGGTTTGGGAGGAAGTAAGGCTGCATTGGCTTCTTGCAAAGTCAATGGCTTGTTTGTTACAGAGGCTGCTCGTCGAATAAATGTCCTTTGCATGTCGCCGAAGTTGAGGGTAAAAAAACGCGTCAGTGAGTCAGCATGAGCGCTCAAAAATTTACAACTTGGCGCACACCCGGTGTCAGTGTCAGTTCATTCGGAAACCAAAGAATTCAAAAATTAGTTATTGATAGGCTAACGATACAAAGCATTTACATGTAGTCCGTGGTATACGAATGGGAAATAGAAATGGAAAAGTGGGTAGCGAGACAAAGAGCGGAAGTAATGAGGCCTTAAGGTCTAACGATACACAACGCAACGCTGAACGAGACAGACTAAATATACAAAAAAAGCGGAGATTATAATGCAGTAGAGAAGTTAATGAAGCGAAATGTCCAGCCAGTCCCAGCATGAAAGACAAACAGGAAGAAAAAAAGAAAAGGTCGATCACCTCAGTCAGAGTCAGAATCCTCCTCTTCCGAGGAATCATCATCATCATCGTCATTTTGCTCCTGCTCCTGCTCCCGCTCCCGCTCCTGCTCCTGCTCCTGCTCCTGCTCCTGCTCTACCTCTTGCGTTCCCCTCGCCGCCGGGTGACACACCATGTGCGAACTTTCCTGGTGCCTCTTCAAGGCATCTCGCCGAGAGAACACCTTGTCGCACCCCATCTCGCAACGGATCTCCCTCGCACCACCATGCTTCATCGTATTCATATGGCGCTTAATGTCCCCCAACTTCCTCGCCTTCGTCGAGCACCCCTCGAATGGGCACCTGAACGTCCCAACATAACCCCAATGCCTGACGTTGTGATGACCCTGGAGCTCGTCAGCGCTCGCAAACATCGCCGTGCACCCGCCAATCCAGCACCTCACGTCGTGATCGAGGCTGGGCGAAGCAGCCGAGTCTGGGGTGTCGACATCCATAGCAGACGACCCATCTGCCGGGGAGCGTTCCGATTGTGGATTCGCGCGCGTCGTTGGGCCAATCAGCCGCGAACGTGTCGACGGTTGTGTCGTGCGCTTCCTCGGTACAGCTTGCTTCTTCGCGACCTTCGTCGACGTCGTTGCCTTGGGCTTCCTGGGTGACCGGACCACCCTGGCCGCGCGCTTGCGAGGGGTGATCGATTTGGGAGCCTTTGGAGGGGAATTGAAGGACGGGAGAGAGCGAGCGTCGAGCGTCGCTCCCGACGGCTGGAACATGGAGGAGTACGTCATGGGTATGGGTTGGGGTGAAATTATCCGGGATGCCAGCGGAACAAGCATGTACTTGTCGGATAACGCGATGTACGTGTGATGCAGTTTCTCGCTGTTAGGATCGGGGAACCACACCTCTGTGACGAGAGAATTCTTGTCAACTGCCGTTGCTCGACGAGCGACAAGATACGGGTTCTCAGGCTCCGGACGCTCTTCGACATTTGCAGGAAGCTGAAGAGCCGCGGGGTTTCGAAGGGCTTGAGCCCATAGCTGCTCACCTGAAATGAGACCAGGGGACGGCTGCATGAACGGGCAAAATCGGGTTAGTATCAAATCATCACGAAGCGACTGAACACTTACGTCGAGCCCCTGACGCCTCAATAGCCCCTGCCTTGAGAAACCTTCGACGCCATCAACAGATGCCTTGTCCACAACCGTCTACAGAAAGCAAAACGGGTGTCAAAGTTAGACAACATTAACACTGTCGCCACACAAGAGATCATTTACACTTTTGTAAACAGGCTTCTTCTCCTGATCGTCCACAAACGCGTCGAGGTTGAAGAACTCAGATTCCTATTGATTCTTAAGCATCGGGTCGATGCGAAAGCAAACAACAACGTACCTCTCCGTCGTCGACCGGCGACGTTGATGTTGCCCGCATGCCACCTTCGAAAGGAAGTGGCACCGGGTATCGGGTGCTCCAGAGTACCTCCAACAGGCTCTGTAAGCAACGGTCAACTTAAATTCAATGAAGATAGAGCTGAAAAGAACTCACATCGTCTTGAGGATTCATCCACAGAAACTTCGTCCACTCAAACTGTTCCACGTCGGAATAGTCTGTCTTCAGGATTGGCACCATCGGGATAAGTTGGACTTCTCCCGGTATGGTCGTTGCATGGGCAACATACACGAACTTTGGCAGAGGTGGCGGAGCCTGGATATTCACAACTTTTGGGAGAGGATCGTACACCCGATGGTACACATCCGAAGTTGTGTCGACCAGGATTTCGGTCGGTGGTGGAGCATTCACAATACGGAGGATCTCTTGAAAGCCCTCCTCGAGGGTCTGGTCGTCTGGGGGCCCGAAAAGTTGCTTGACTGGGATTTTGGGCGCCTGAGAAGGAGATGAGGGTGGACAGGACAGGGGAGGGACTCCGAAGAGTTCCTCGAAACTCTCCTCTACACTCAAGTCGTCCGGGTGGCGGAACGGTTGCTCCGCTGAGAGATCGTGCGGCTGGGGAGAGAGAGAGCGGGAAGGTCGGGGGGATGACGGCGGAGAGAGAGAGGAAATGGGGGGTAGAGCAGCTGCGAGGAAAGCCATAATGGAAGTTAAGAAATCTGAAACGATGTAAAAGGATGTGATGATACGAGTCGCGACCAGGCGGAGAAGAGTGTCTAGCACAGTTTAAAGGTAATTTCGACGAACCCAATTTGACGCTTATATGGACCCCTGGAATACTTGGACCGACTGTCCTGGCTTGCCGACTCGCTTATTGACCTTTGCTAAC